AAACAAACAAGACACTGTCAAATCATTTCTGTATTTATTAGGTATTTTTATTGCAGTTTGTTTCTCTGGTCCAGACTAAAATATACACTTGTATTTGACTTATGTGAGGTCCCCCTCAGGTTTTGCATGAAGCATAATTAATATTTGTTACACATTTCTTTCACTGAGTTTGGACATTAAGTTTCTAGATGATAGCATTAACATGTAGCTAAATTTTTAATATGTCAAAGCTTTACAGAGCTAATATTAGTAGATATACCTTGTCTTTAGTACTAAATAGCAAATCATGCTGACCTAACAAACAAATTAGATTGTAAACATGGAAAAAAAAAATCATACCTACAAACAACTTTCATATTAGCTTTGTCATTTATCATGTTAATTAGCATGCTGATTGGCGCTCAGGCAGAAGACCCACTGAAGGCAGTTTGGCATTAGAAAGATGTGAGCAAATCATGTCATGAGATGCTCCAGAAATGCGGTGAAAAAGAAAGACATGATTCGGTAGTTCAAAGTATTAAGATTCATTCAAGCGAAGGTATAATTTGGCTGATGATGAGGACATTGTTTTGCTAGATAATTTTAAGTAAGTGAGCAATTTATCAGGTAGTAGGTATTCTCCTTTTACCTCTGCTTTAAAGATGATATATTGAGTTACACATTCAAGGTCACTGGTTCAGTTCCAGCCAGAGGAACAACTCCACTTTATGGGTGTGTAAAAACTCTGCCAAAGCAAACCTGCAGAGCTAGTCCGACCCCCTGTAAATAATGGAGCAGCTGAAAGTAACTTCCAAATCTTTGGCCCGTTTTCATCATGTTTGCAAAAGAACCGTCTTGTAAAAGCTGAGGAGTTGACAGCAATGAGCAAGATGCAGCAGCTGCGTTGTTGTCTGTACGGTGCTATAACACCCTGCTGTTTGTGAAATTATGATGAAAAAGGAATCTATGTTCATGGATGTGAACCGTTACCGGGGTTTTTTGTCAATTAATATAAATTTAAAAGTAATATATGTAAGTAATAAGAATTTTTTTTCTGAGTAAAGAGGAAAGTCTAACCAATAACAACAAGGAAAATAACGTTTTTTTTCCTTTCTGAGATAAGCTACTACACATAGTTCCTGTGGTAGTTTACTTAATCAGTTTCATCCAGATTCAGTGAAACGTCTCGGACAAAACAGGGAAAAGACATACATGCTTACGTTATGATCTTTGTAGTAAGATGTCACTATAATTTCTTTTTGCACTGAAACATTCTCCCAGATTAAGCCTGATTAACTGTAAGATTACATTAAATCTGCAGACTGTATAACAAACAAACAAAATAAATTCAATCTGTGTTGTTGGTTTATGAGCAAAATGACAGAAACATGGTTACAGGCTTGCAACTTCCCAGTCGCACAGTAGACCAGCCCTGACACATACTTTTTTCACTCTAATTACAAAACAAATATTAAGGGCCATAAATTGGCTTGAATTTTTTCCCTGGCCTGTCTGAAAAGAACGTTTTAAATTTGTATTTCCCCTTCATGATTTCTTTCTTTTTTTTCTTTGCTTTTTTTCATATTTGTCACACCTACATGTTTCAGATCACCAAATAAAATTTGGTATTACAGACAAAGTTAACCCAAGAAAATGCAAAAGGTACTTTGTAAATGAGGATTTTTTTTTTTACTAAGGAAAAAAAGCTTTCCAAACCTGCCTGGCATTATGTGAAGAAATTAATTGACCTCTGTTATTAAATCATGAATTAACTGTGATTAACAACATTATATTTGGAAAGCTGAATCCACTTTCACTAGCCAGGCTCAGGCCAGACCTGTTGATTTAAGAAATCACTTAATCAGATGCTGTCTAAGAAAGTGAAATAGGCTAAATGCAATAAGCTGCCAAGCTTTGCACAGTCATTTATATGGTTTAAGGGGCAAATACTTTTTCATACAGGAAGGTTTTTCTCCTTAACAAATGAAATTATCATTTTTTAAAAATCGATTTTATATTTACTCTAGTTATCTTTGGCTATAGTTAGAATTCTGTTTCACTGTGGTCAAAGTGAGCTGATATGACTGAAAAGCTCTGACAACAGGATGTTTTTACTTGCTCGTTCGTCTAAGAAGTTAGAGGGAAGGGACATTTATTTGGTGTAACATTTAGAAAAAAGCTTTTATTTTATTTTACTTATCATAACATAACTTGTTATGTCGAATCAGTCACATATTATTTAACCTCAGTCTCCACATACACAACTGTAACTGTAAATAACAGCAGTTTGCAGACTAATGATTGAAATAAGAGCAGTGCAAATAACATAAGTTCATTTTTTACACTGTATTCATCCTGGGTCTGTTTTCATTTATTATTTCATTTTTAAATTCCAACAATTAAGTAAAATTGTATTCTTGGATGTATCTATTTATTAGATTTTATGTTACAAAGTTAGGAAAGCTTAAGTCGAGCTAAGTTGTGCTTGATGTTTCCTTACACATAAAACAATCCCAGTTTCTTTCTCACAGTGACGGCCACAGTTGATTATTTTAACACTAGTTTTGGTCCAGCACGATGGCCATGTAGCAGACAACGCAGAGGGCATCAATCAGAAAAAGAAAATTGTGAGTGGTTCCAGAAAATATTGAACTGATTCTACCTGATGTTTTTGTATTTGCTTTCATTTTTTAGCACGTTTATGGAGCTAATCATGTTTATTGTGCAGTGAACTGACTGCAAAGCTCATGGTCAGCATGCTCAAAAAAAAGTTAAACTCAATGCGTACTGACAAGCCTTTCCACTGTGAACCCATTAAATTTAATTTGCTCAGAATTAATAAGTAAAACTAAACTGGGACACAGCTAATGAGCCATAGCTTTGTTCACTAATACCATGAAGAGCTGAAAGCAATTTAAGGTCAACTTGGAGTTGAGTTTCCTTTAAAATGGGCTCACAATGCACAGTTTGACATCTTCTATGCACATTGTCTATAACACTTTCATAAAGGCGACACAATCCTTTAAAACATGAAAAAAACATGAAGTCATTTTAGGAACAGGAACCCTGACACCATCTGCATTTACTTACTCAAATGAGTTATAGTTATAGTGTCTATTTAGCTGTAGACACAACAATATTTCCATCAGATTCATTTACATTTCTGTGCCAGTCACCAAGCTGATTTTTTTTTAATGAGTTTTCAAATTGATTCGGCTCACTGAGCTGAATATATATATTTATTTATTTAGTATGTTTTGCCTGGAGTACCATAAAAACATTAGCTTGTAAGGCTGGTGCTGTTCTCTCCTTTGTGTAATCTATTCTGACCAGAGACTCAGAGCACTGTACTCTCAACCTGCATGACATTCATGTGCTCAGATAAACACACTGTACCATGTAAACCAGCAATGAGAACAGAACTGGCCGTGCCACCCGGTACAGCGGTGCCACCTGGTACAGCGGCGTTCTCACTGGAGTCTGTTGCACCTGCAGGACTTGCCAAGCTGGAGACAGAGGTCAAAGTGTGCGGGAGTCCTGCCAAGCCCAAGGTTGGCATGCTGTTTGATCCGGCCTCTCTTCCATCAGAGGCCGGCGTGTTGTGTGGTCCTGCGTGCCGGCTGCCTGCCGAGCTGCCGGGCCTCACAGCCACGACTGCTGCGCTGCCCTGAATTGCCACATGTGTGTCCCCCGGCCCAGCTCCGGGGCCACCGCTGGACAAGTGGGTGGCACCTGGACCCACCTTGTCATTGGCGCCGCTGGATACTTGGGCAGCGACCTGAACAGACACCTCCCTGTCGCTTGGGGGTGGTTTGGCAAGATGGCCTCAGTTGGGCGATGGCAGTATGTGGCGTGGTCTGTGGTGCCGCCCCTGTGGCTGGTCTCTACATCTGTCTAACTGGGTCCCCAAAAAAACCACCCAAAGTACAGCCAATACAAACTTTTTGAAGTGAGACTAGAGCAGACTAGCAGATATTTAAAAAAAACAACAAAAAAACATAGAACTATGAAACGTATACATAGTCCAAGTTTAAATTGCATTAAAGTACAATTTCCAATAAAATTTATTTTATAAATAACTGAATATATCCATATGGATACACACATTTGTTATACAAATATGGGTCTATGTGGGTCCTTCTAACCTGGCTGTAATCTGTACTTTAAAAATATTATGACAAACCTAATTTATCACAATCACCTCTACAGCAGTTTGAAGATTTGCTTTGTGTTATTTTCTCTCTCTCTCTCTTTTCTTTTTGTGTGCATTTTTTTCAGTATTTTAGGCAATTGAAGTGAATGACGTTTTCAAAATTAATACCCACTGGTTGGTTGGACAGTCACTGGAGCTACAGTCATTAGAAGAAAAGTGCTACATCAATAGCCTTACAGCAGTAATCCATTATTTTTGACAGCAGGCAGCAGAACAAGCTACCTGTGAAATATGGTGTGTTTTAACAACAGCTGCATTCTCACAACTTTAAATTGTCTAATGGAGACTACAAGGTTAAAATTATTTGTCATCCACTTCCACTGGATGTTTATTCCAAGGCAACGCTACACTAACCATGGCATGTCCAAAGAAGTACACAAAATAGGCCCAGAGAAAAGAATTAAGTTTGGTGGCAGTCTGAGAGTCTTCCCCTCATTCAACAATAAACGTTTCATCTACAGTGACTATATCATTAAAAAAAACCAAAAATCCTAAATGTATGTGCACTGCTGCATAATTCCTCTGCCTTGGTGCATGCTGAAATTGTTTCTAGCTTGAGCAAAGTAAAGACAAATATACGCAGCAGGGTTTGCTGTCCTTATCCTGGCTTACTTTAGATTATAAAACAGAAGCAAGATGAAAGTACTCTGAAGCTTCAGGATTCTCAGTGGCAGAAAATACTTATTCCCATTTCTCTGCCTTTAAGCATTCAACAGTTATCACATTCACAGTTGCAAATTGGGTTCCCATAGGTCATATCTTGATTTTTCAGATGCTGGTGTATTATTTCCCCCGTAAGCCCGCTTACCTTCCTTTTAGCTCGGAGCTGTCCATGATAGTTATCAGACGAATCTCCAGGGATCTCACCACCCCATAGTGTCAGCCCCACTATGGTGTAAGTAATGCCCATCACCACTAAGGGCAGCAAGTACACCAGCACTGTTACTATGATATGATACCTAAGAAGAAAGTATAAAAATTGTCAAAGAAGTGGGAACATTTAAAAAATAATCATACATAACTCACACATAGTAAATGTTTCATGCTGTATAAACATGTCCACCTCTGTGCTCTTAGTTCCTGTTGCAACTGATAAATATAACATTCTGGGAAAACTTGCACTATAATCCCAAATGACTGCATTTGGTGCTACCTTCCAGAAAAAATAACAAAAGACAATAAATTAACAAATTGTTTTGGTGTGTTTACTATATTTTGCATTTTTTGAATGCTTCTCTATTCTTATTTACCTCTGAAATAAAACATAATTTCTCTGGAATGCTATTTTTTACTCTCATAATGCTAATGAATACGACAGTAAACACTGCAATATTTCATATTTTGCCATTTTTCTGACAATGGCACAAGTTTTCATCAGATGTAGTCAAAGGGTTTATGTTTTCCAAATACTTGCAATGTCTTTACCTTTTAAACAAAACTACCACTGTACAACTATATACTTACAAAAATTAAATCATTATGTTGTAAAATCGCTATTTTTTTGCTGAGCTTAGCACACATAATGCTCAAACGGGAACACTACCCTGTAGTGTTTCCAACAATACTGCTCTGCTCTACTTTGTTTAAATGTACTGAGTGATGTTTAAAATGAAGGATGGGATTTATTAGTTTATTTCATCTTGCTTGTATTATTTGTATAAGTACATCCAACACATTCAAACATCAGACATAGCAGAAAAAACAGATAAATCTTTCTCACATGAAGGAGTCATCCTTCCTGTTGGGCCAGGCCACATAGCAGACAGTCCTTTGGGGTATGCTTCGGATGGTTTGGATGGTTGAGAAGTAGCAGAGGGGGAAAGCCAAAACTATAGCTAGACTCCAGATACAAACAATAACCCCTGTGGTGACCTTCGCTGACAGTCGAGGCTTAAGAGGATGGATGATGGCCATGTACCTACAGCAAAGAGGTTAAAAAGAGAATTCTGTGTTTCTATTTAATTGCTGACGTACATGTCAGAGTTAACACATCCTTAATGTTATTATTTTGTCTTTATTGCAGTTACTTTTTACAGATCGTAACATCTCAAAATTGGTCTTCAAATCAGTGGTCGTTATACACTCTGAAGTTGTTTCATGTCAAGGATTTTAAGAGGACTCAAGAGGCGAACATGAAACAATATTTCACAGTTCAAAAGTAATTATTTGAGAAAGTGTGAAATTTAAAAGATAGCATCAAGTCTATTTGCTGTATGCAATAAAGAAAAAGAAATTTCTCTTACCTAAGCATTTAACTTCAACAAGCTGCTGGAATATAAAGTATAATTTTAAAGTGGAAAATGTCACTAATGCACAAGTGGAATTGACTGAATCGCCCATTAATTCAACTTATGATTCAACGACATTTTCAACATTAAAAATATACCTCATTTTCTACAAGGCAGTCTTGTATAAGTCCAATTACATGGGGGTGTTTGAATTTCGGGGAAGCTGATGGATTATTCATTCCTAAAAAGCTGTGATGAGATTTTGTTTGACTGACACAGTAAAACACTGACAGGAGATTACCATCTTCATGAACTCAGCTCAGGATGTTACATGATTTTCAATAGGCAATCACAGGGGCTTAGAGCTGCTAATTCAATCTTCATAGGATGGTAAAAAAAAAATAGGCCTTGTCCTTTCACTCCAGTGACCACAACCCTCTCGGGGATAACAGCAAATTCACCAGTAATTGTTTGGAACTTATTGCTTCTCACTGGACCTTGTTAAATGTGGAATCAAGTATGTTCCAGAGCACAATGTCAGCTGATGGAATGGACTTGCAGTGAGCAAACATGAAAAACCTAAATAAAATAACACAAGTGTACACCTTTTTGATATCTATCGAAGAACATTTAGGGAGACAACAGAACTGGGTGTGACTCGGAAGCCTGTCATGCCTGAAGCTACACAGGACAGCTTTTGGAAAGCATATTGTTTTGAAGCTATGTCACAACACTGTTTTATTACCAAGTAAACATTCACTCAATCATCAGCATGTGCTTAACTAGCAGAGATTACCTCAGATGAAGAGTCCAGACCAAAAATAATGTACAGAGGTACATTTCAAGTGCTCTCTCAAAAGTCCTCAAGGGAAAGAAAAATGTTTAATCAGTCTGCAAACCTCACTTTATAGTATCACAAAGGAATCATTAATTGTTATTTGTACTTAATCCTTACTAGTCATGGTTTTCTATTCATTTTTTCTTTATATTGTTATCATTTGAACAACATTGCATTTTCTTTAGTAAAAGTTATGTTAAGTGTTCCCAATTAAAGCTATTTAAACAAAGAAAATTTAATTGTACATAAGCTTTTAAGAAATTAATTTCTGTTACAATATTGACCTCCAAAATATAATTAAATAATTATATGAGGTATGAAAAATTGTTTTAAAAAATGACCACAGGGACATTGTAAAATCTTCAGTGGTGTTACCTTTCACACAGAAACCTGTTTTCTTTTCTTTCCGCTGCCCAAGGAAACACACTTGGCAGCTGAGAGACTCAGCAGGAAGGACAAATTCACAGATGATCATGAACTGTGGCCTCATGCCATTTCAAGACATCAGAGCGGAGACAGCACCATACTGGGGTTACGAAAAGCATGACCGGAGGTTACATCTACATCATCTAGGTCATGCCGATGTTCTCTTTCTCTGTACACAGATGACAAATTGAATGGACATTGTGGACCAAAAATATAAAGGCATGTAAGTCGTTGTTGAGAGAAGCCAAAATGAGCACGGCCTGAGGAATTACATTGTTCCATTTGAGCGACAAGAAGAAGCACTGGAGGAAGAAAACACCTCAGACAATAACACAACGCACTGTGACACGTGAACGCTAGCTGTAGACACACACTGCACTTGCTTGCAGCTTTCACATGATTTTGTCTTTTCATTATGTTCAGCCTGTGGCTACTTCTTTCATCAGTTTAATCCCTTTATTCAAACATTATGATGTATGATGGTCCACTGATCAGTTTCAAAGCCCTGGTGATAGTGTTGACTGCATCCTCACATTAATGGAAAGCACAAGGGTTGTCAGAGAGAAAGACTGCAAACGAACCAACGGAGAAAAGAGGACGTGTGAATGAGCAAAAAAAAAAGAAAAAAAGGAAAAGATGTGCATGTGGCAGAAAGCAAGAGAGCCAGAGCGTGTAGGAGGAAAGGGCAATCTTTTCTAGGGTGTTGGCATACACAGAGTCATTCACTGCAGCACAGACTCTGTCCAAAACAACTGTTTCAGTCTGATTCACTTGCATTGAAATGTAAAACTAAATCTATGAAACAGGCTCAAGGTGTATGAGATGGCAGTCACCCTCCTGAGGAACTGCCTTTCCAATACAATTATGCAAATCACGACTTGACTACTCCATTGGGAATTGGGGAAAAACAAAAAAACAAAAACGTGTAACAGCAGGGACAGAGAGTGGGAACAAAAAAGGACAAAGATGAAGTTGATAACAGAGGCATCAGACTAAACTGGTGAGGACTCCAAATCAGTTTCTATAAGGGAACAAGTTAATACATTCATTTGCCTTGCAAAACGCATTTTGACTTGAAGCAAGACATTGATTTTAATTCACATTCCCACAAGTGCTGCTTGAACTCAGGGTTGAAATAAAATGATCCAGATTAAAGTGTCAAGGTTATCTTTCATCCTGTGTGTTTTCTAATATTCTATTTTTCTGATTATTAGTTGCATTTAATAAGACTGTGCACATAAGTGGGATATATTCCCATTGCTGAATGAAGGGTCTGAACTCTAGTGTTTGTATTACATCCTCACACTAAGTGATTATTTGTTCCAATATTGAAAAAAAAATGACAGAAACTGATTAAAGGCTGTTGGTAAACCTAAAATAAGACCTTAATCAATTTACCTGGTGACCAATAAAAAACGAATTGGTGTATGAGGTGCATGTGGAGCAACAGAACATTATCTGTTTAACTTTTTTTTTTTACTGCATTTTATAAAACCCACCTGTCCACAGCTATTGCCGCCATTGAGTAGATGCTTGCAAACACAGATGTGACTGGAAAGAAATTGTGGAATTTGCAGTAGGCTTCCCCGAAGTACCACTCCCCGTGAGCGGCATAGATAAAGTTTATTGAAGTATTGAAAGCAGCCATTGACGCATCCGAAAACGCCAGGTTCAGCAGAAAGTAGTTTGTCACTGTCCTCATGCGCTTGTGCGCAAGAATGATCCATATCACAATTAGGTTTCCAAACACCGCCACCGCCAGCACGAAGCTGTAGGCAACAGACCAGAGAGCGATGCGCCATGGCGGCTGGACGAACTGGTTGGTGTGGTTCGTCGTTATGTTGGATCCGTTATATGAAGCCGTCATCCTCTTCTCAGTTTCCCCTGATGTTGTAAAGGTTTCAGTTGTTTCGCCAATATGTTCTAGGCGCACAGCTGGATTGGCAAGAAGGATTTGCTTACATGCGCCATAGCGCGCAACTTAAACACCCCTAACAAGATCCCCGTTTGTTTGATCCGACATGCACGTCTCTGCGCACAACTAATAAAACGCAGTGAAACTGTGTGTGGAACAAGTAAATCCCAGTGTCTGATTGTGCCTATGAATGCGCAGCCTCTCCTCCAGCAGCAGGACGCCGTGCGCGCTCAGTGACGCACAAGTGGCACAAAGTGAAAAAAGATTGATTGATTCTAGTGGCGGCTGTTTTACACTTCATGAATAATGCTCTCTCTCTCTCTCTCTCTGCGGTGTAGAATCAGTCCGTGTTTAGTGTGCACCTTTATCTACACTGACCCGTCAGATGATGTTGTTTGCAGTATTTCCAACGAAGCTACAAACAGGATATTACATTTCATTCATTCAGTCTTTCTCTCTAACACTTGTTGTTCCAACTATGTCAATGAATTCATCAGTGCCATTTCCTGCTGTTGGGTTCTCCAGATATATTAAATTTTGTGCTGCTGCTTATTATTATTATTATTATTATTATTATTATTATTATTATTATTATTAAGTTGTACTGGAGAGAAAGTGAAAGTGTGCAGTGTCCTGTGTCACCTTTACTTTTGGTATAGTTGTGATTTTTCTCATTTCTCCTTTTCCTGTCAGACCCATGCAGCATTTACAACTGACAGGCTGAAGTTCCCTCCAGACATCCAACAGCTCACATCGCTTTTTCCCCCATACAGTGCTATACAAACCTCTATCCGGGCTGCATTCACATGTTTTATACAGCTAATAAAATCCAATTGAGTTCAGCAAAGCTTTCTGACAGACAATAACATGCACTCACCAGTACAACTTGTTTGACATGGTTTGAGCTTTGTGACATGTTTTCATGCTGGAAGCTGCCATCAGAAGATGGGCACAGTGTCAGTCTGAAAAAAATCCCTTATGTAATGGCAACAGCAATAATCATCAACAACAATTGTGGTGTTAAACAATGCTCGGATGTGAAAGTGTGCCAAGAAAATATCCCCTCAATATTGCACCAGCAGCTTGAACCGGTGATAGAAGGCAGGATGGAACCATGCACTCAGGATGTTTATGCCAAATTTTGACCCTACTATCTGTAGTTCGCAGCAGAAAACAGCCCTCATTAGACCAGGAAACATATTTCCAGTGTTTGATTGTTTAATTTTGGTGAGCCTGTTATAATTGTAGCCTCATTTTCCTGTTCTTAGCTGACAGGAGTGACACCCAGTGTGGTCTTCTGCTGCTGCAGTCCAATGTTTTCAATGTTTAACACGTTGAGAGATGCTCTTCTCCTTACCTTGGCTGTACAAAGTGATGATTTGAGTTAGTGTTGCCTTCCTCTAAGCTTAAAGCAGTCTTGCTATTCTCCTCTGACATCAGCCATCAACAAGGTATTTTCTCCCAGGCAATTGCCACTCACTGGGTGTTTTCAGTTTTTCAGACTATTCCCTAGTCTACACTAGAGATGTGTGTGAGAAAATCCCAGCAGATCTGTAGTTTCTGCGATACTCAGACACACTGCACTGGCACCAACGATCACACCACTTCCAAAGTGTCTTAAATCACCTTTTTTTCTTAATTCTGATTCGAACATTGGCAGGTTGTCTTGACCATGCCTAAGTACATGTGAGTTACTGCCATGTGATTTGCTGACTAGATATTTGCATCAATGAGCAGTTGATGAATAAAGTAGCTGGTGAGTGTATCCCACTGTACTGTGGCAGCTGCTCAGTGTCATTTTTCCTCATTGAAACAATACATCCCCAGTTATCAGGTATGGTTCCACAGTCAAGTAGGTCTTCCTCAAACTAAAACTTTTAACTCAGTTCAATGTGTGCATTCAAACAAAAGAAAAAAGTAAGCTTTGTTTTGAATTCTGACTCAGCAGAACATTTAATGCTGCATTTAAATGTGAGAGGACGTTTATTAGACATTTTCATTCTGCTAGGCACAATTACACTGCAGTGACTGCAGCCTGCGTCTATAGGCTGTGTCATATAAAAGTAAGACAATGTTTCCTGACACGAAGACATTGTTTGCAGCTTCTGAAATTCATCTTAATTATACTGTTTACCAAGAGATACAGGTGCATAAAAAGATGCAAATAGTTACAAACAAACGCTACACCTGTCAACTATTGCTACCCTGCAATCTGAAGCATAATGGTTTTACTCTCACTGTTAACATAATACATTGTAATGGCTATAGAGTAAGAAACTGTGCAGAAGTAATTAAATGGTTTTGTGGTGCAGGAACAAAACCTAAATTACCAGTAATTTAAAAAAAAAAGTCAATACATTTGCAAAATGTTCAAATGATTGATGATGTAGTCGATAAGACAAGAAATGTTATGTATTGAAGGATTTACATAATAAGTATTTTGTTCTGCTTTGCAATCCTGCATATTAATGTCGGTTAAAATGAATATCAGATCCTTATTGTATAATATAACAGCATAATGTATACTGTGTGTATACATATTATTAAAGCAGGGTAAGATTTCCATTCATATCTGTCAGCAAACACAGTTTCTTAACAGCAGCATCAATGTTGGAAAAAAAACAACAACAACAACTTCTTTTGTATGTGACGCATACCAACTTGAAGTTGACTCCTGTCTGTTTTCCCCTTGGATCACGTTGAGAACAGCTGTGTAATGAGCCACCATGGACTTATTGTTTGGTCACTGCTTCTTTGCTGTGTTGTTGTTGTAAAGCTTGATAGGCTTGATTGTCATTGGGAAGCTCCATTTTCTGACTTAATGTGTCATTTGTTTAGCTATTTAGATAACAGTACCTTTTATAAACATGCCAGGACAGCTGATGTGTAGCTCTTTTCACTGCTGGTGCTGTGGTGTTTCAAACTGGGGTTAGAGCTCGGGGCTATTTGGTTTGATCAGTTCAAAATGTGGACAGCAACCATGGACAGCAATTTATTTGCTAATGAATGTGCATCGCTCTTCAATTATTTCCTAATTAGTCCACATCTCAGACATTAACAGCTGAAAATTGAATTCCTACGAAGACTGTCATGTGAGGAATTCATTGTATTGTTCGTTCAGTTCAGTTTTTGCTGTCAAAGTGCAACTATTGACCAACAACAGACTGCCACACACTAATCAATTAAATGTTATCAGCAGCCATGCTTGCACTGCTGAAACATTTGGACTCAAATTTAGAAGCAAGGGAGTGTTTTCAGTGTTACCTCAACTAAAATGAGAATAATGAGGTAGGACTGTCAAACTCTAGTTTGTTGCTATAGATATACACCTACCAGAGCAAAGATTAACTGTCTTCAATAAAACCAGCTTCAGTGCAGTTACAGCAGCTGTCAAGGTCTGCTGCACTGATAAGAATAAAGCACCATTGCTTGGAATAATCATCATGGATGGTGGTGATATGCTAAAGTAAAGTATATTTTGTACATTCATGTTAGATTTCAATTTTAATTAAATTCAGTTTATTCATATGGCGCCAAATCACAACAGCAGTCACCTCAAAGTGCTTTATATTGTAAGACTAACAAAATATAGAGAAAAGTTCAATAATCCAAAGAATCCCTATGAGAAAGAACTTGGCAACAGTGGGAAGGAAAAAAGGCTTTTGAACAGGAAGAAATATCTGGCAGAAGCAAACTAGAGAAGAGACAGCCATCTGCTATGAGTGGTTGGGTTTAAGGGAGGGAGAAAGGACAAAAGAAAGACAAAGAAATGTGGTTGTCTTCTCATCTAGCACTTCAAGATTTCTATTAACATTTCACTTTGCTCATACATACTTGCATTCATCAGAGGTAAGATAAAGGTTGCATTTTCTGTGAGATCTGTGGAAATGACCTGGGTGGGATATTGGCAGCTTTTGACCATTTGTCGATTTCTTTCAGCTTTTAAAGACCAACACTATTAGATATGAGATAGACTATAGATAGACTGTGGTAGGTAACAAATTCAAAAAGGTCCATTTTATTCATGTAAAAGTAGAAGTCCAGTGATCCCAGTCTTTTCCCCCTAAATGTGATAAAAATATCAGCAAAATATTAACAGCTGGTTGAACTGAAGACAGTTTAAATAATGACTCAGACTCTTAAGCCACACAGTCTATAAAGCACATAAAATTACAAAATGATAACACAGACTGGGCTATTTGGAGGAGGGCCTCAGAGTGAGAGAAGCTAAAATTAGGCTTTTAAACAAATGATGAAAATAGGTGTTATATCAGTAACATTGTTACAGTTGTACACAGCTAAGGGGTCAGAAATTGGTCAACTGAAACACTGTAACCATCATCAAACATTTAAAAAAAATTGTGACATGCTGGTCTTTCTCTTTGGAGCTCTTGTGAGCTGTCCCCGAGGCAGCTTTGGATATCATCCAGTATGACGTACAATTAGAAATAAAGCGGTCAGCTGTCATGGACAGCACCACATTCATTCGCCCTTCTGTGTGTTGTGGATTGGACAACAGTTGGGCTGACATCATGTTGCCTGAGCATGGAATAAGATCTAAAGTAAAAAGTTTGTTTCCCCAAACAAATGGCTTGAATGCCCAAATAAAATGAGACAATAAAGTGATGCATGTTCAGAGTCAAAGTCCTTAAAACAGACCAAAATCACACTGACTTCCACGTCTGTAATCACTAGGAGAAGCTGTTGTGTTTAATAACAATACACCTCTTTTGTCTTCTGATAATGTTTTTTTACATCCGTACAGGAGATATTTTGTTGCATTTATTGTGATAAGTATAAACCCGTGCTCATCATAGGCAAAGCTTAAACCTATATGTGGAAACTTGATTTTTGTTTTGGATGGAGTACTGCAACATAAGGCTTGTGGGGCAGAATCAGCCTGGAAAAGACCCCAAAGTTGGACAGCTTTGGGAAATATAATGGAGAGCATAAATTTCTGAACCTTTAACTGTATTTTTGTACATTTTGCAACATTTCTTCCAAATAAATACCTCCCCAGGGACATTGAAACTACAATAAAGTAGTTCAGTAATAGATGAACATTTAAATGACAGAAACATTCCTGTACTTGATGTAAAATGAGTTTAAAATCCCTGGTGTAGATCAAACAAACACAAGACCTGGACCAAATCAGCTAAGTTCACTTTCAAAGTTTCTTTTTTTTCTTCTCACAACCATGTAATTGATCTCACCATTACTGATT